ATTATTATTAATATTATAGTCATGATGAATAGAAATCTGTTTTATTTTAATGAAAAATTAAATCTATAGTTACGAAAAAAATAGTTCTCTAATAGTCTCCTACAGTAGCTGTTTTAAGTAATAAATCCCATACAGGAAGACATGGAGAAAGACGCGGGATCACCCTGTGAAGGACCATTAAAACGCAATTCGTTGATAGAATTGTCATAGAACTTAGCATCCCTCGTCGCGACATTAAATTACGTTCGATGCGAGCATAAGCTTTTCAAGTGCATCTTGCACGCATGCATTCGCGTTTTCCTTCATACGAGAGTGTATTCCCGCCGCATTATTCGCCACAGGCTGCAACCACTACCGTTGTATCATATCGTCGTATCACTCTCTCGATGCGGACCTTTTGCATTGCAAAATTCGAAACGAGAGTCGCACGTATCTCCTCGCCTCTATCTCCTCGCCGTGCTATCGGTCGCGGATGCGAGCATCAGAGATAGGATTTAACGGACCACGACCGATGTATACGCGCGCATATATCGCACACTTAAATGTCATTCCATAGCCGGATGTTTCCGAGCTGCGCTCGCGATTCGCGAATAAGACGACCGCGAATATCGCGGCGCCGTCGTTTCTAGAGACGAGAGCAGCCGGTCTTCGCTGGCGCCACGGTACGATAACTATCCTGAAAAAATGGCCGGTATTAAGTATCATTAGTCTCCACGCGGTAGGCACGTGATTTTTTTGCAAGCGGTAGGCATGTAACTTGATTGATATTCATTAAAAAATCGACATTGTCAGTAATATAATAAATATAAGATAATTTTTTTTTAGCATCTCTAGAAGCGGATAAAAGCTGAATGTTCGTGATAATTTAATTATTTATTTATTCTTTTTGTTTAAATAACAAGTTATATTGGTTCTGATAGTTGACAAGCCGTAATAACAAATTTTAATTATAATAACGATTTGAGAAGAAGAAATCTTTGAAATGACAGATACAAATTATAATCCATGCAACTATCGGATTAATGATCTTTATTACTAATCGTGCGGTAGTTACAACGCTTTTACATACCTAATTATGATTACTATAGCAAAAATAAAACTCTCCATCTCGTGTAAAATATCCGTCAATGCATACACGTGGAAAAATAGAAATTTACGAGTAGGTATATAATAACCGTAAAGTATGACTGATTTATACGTTTACGAGAACACATCGCTTATCCGGATCGTAAAGAATATAATCAGCTGTGGCGGGCTGTAATTTCGCGACGCGTGTAAACGATACTAATGTGATCATGCGTTACGCGCTCGTTCATAAGGAGGATCCATTCATCTAAGCTAATTAAAACCAAAAGAGAGGAAGAAAGCAATCTTAACTAATTATAAAACAGAATCCCGAGACCGTGAACACAACGATTCTACGTCCTATGCAAGAGTCGTTTTCATCCCCGTGCGTTGCCTTCTTCTAGACAACCTTTGGATTCAGCTGGACAACTCACTGCAATGTCGGATATTACTAGACGCGGACACGCACACACGCGCACGGACGCGTGGCACACGCGTCGACGAGCAGTCAGCCGTCCGGTCACACTTACATATACAAAACTCCAACCAATGCTCTCGAGCGTAAATCATAACGCATAACCGTTTCTACAGCAGGCTCCACCTTACCGATACGCGCATATATGTGCACGATCTCATGTGGACGTGCACGCATCGCCGCCGTTACCATTATCGCCTTTACTCTGGTCCGGTCTGTTTGCGTGCGCATATACTTAATATATCTCCCCTTTTCCTCTGTTCCTTTAATAACGTGCGCGTATACACCCCCCGGGCATGACGGTGTCAGAGATCGATGAATTATCGGATCCCGATGCGTCGCACTTGAGACAGTACCGCCGCAATTTCCGACCAGCAATGCTTGAATATACGAGATGAACGAGAATGATCCATTTTTCGAGGGGGAAATTATATATATATATGTATATATGGAGCCGTCGCTTCCGCAATTCCGTAGAAGTGTATTGCCCCGGGCTCGATCGTACCGGAAGATCGCACGATTCTTTATCTTCCGTGAATTACCGTGTATCGCGAAATGAGATCGAGAGCACAAGAATAGCTTCTTCCGCGATCTTGATATAGGTATAATATAAAGCGATACTATACGACCAACTATATATGACCCGATTTTTTCAGAGACAACTTCATTTAAATCTGAAAAATATAGTTTTCTATATTTTGGTCGTGCAATTTTACGATTATGTTTTAGAAAAATTTTATTATGTACTTGCGCTCTAAAGCGTCCAATAAATAATATTGTTCTCTTTTCCGGTATCTCTACAACGTTACGCCCGTGCGATTAATATGACCTAATTAAGCGTTTTCCTTTAAGCAGCGTTTCAACTACAAAATATCGATCGCACAAATCTCTTGTAATAATGAACTGTTGTAACTCGGTACATTAATTCAGTACATTATATTCGCGATAGCGTGAAATTTACTCGACCTCGCTACCATATCGCGGCGAAAAATCATCGGCGATACACGGGATACGTCGCTGCGTGTGGAGCGGCGTTATATCAGGATCCGAAATAATTTACCGCTGATCCGACAAGAATTATTGCGACCGATATAAGTAACATTTATCGGATGTAAGAGCCGGGGATAATATTCCACGTGGTAATTTAATGTACATTAACGCATCGAAATAGCAGGATGGGCAAGCTCTTGTGCGGAATATTTAATTTAATAATCCGACGCTATCTACACGCTCGTCTTCTAGCGACCATAAGAGTACGACTTTATCATCGCGATAAGATTAATTATAACGACCGGCGCATTCGGGATTAAGAACGCCCGTACAGAACTTCGCAGATTCGCACGTTCAATTCGCATTCGATTCTTCGAAGATGCGGGACGCTGGTTATTTTCATAGTTCGGTCTAAAAGGATCAAAACGAGAATGGCAAGCCGCAGTAATCATGCGGGAGAGGAGCGCGCACGCAACTGGCAATAATAAATCATGCTTAGAGCTCGTTGGCGAACTCGCCAGTTTCGTGCGTAACTCGCCGAAAGATACTGAAAAGCCCGAGACGCATCGTCGATTTATGATATCTGCGATACAGTCGTATTCGATCGGAGGCTGTTCATGAAACGTCGAACGTACGCGTACATACGTGGGGCCGACGTGGAACATGCGTGGATTTTTCAGCGAAGATTTTCTCTTGCATCGGGGATAGCGACACGCACTCTGTGGGTGTGCGAGCACGCGATATTCGTACACGCACGTCTTTAAGAAAGAGAGAGAGGTGCGAACTGGACGAGAAACAACGATAAAGCGAGAGCGAGGGGAAAGGCCAGAAACCGCTTGGAATCTCGAGGCGGGACACACGGACGGTGCATGGTATTTTTAGACATTAAAATCGCTCCATAAATTAAATCCGCAAAAGGACGAAGCGACCGGCCCGCCGGAATGAGACGACACCGGGGAACCGTTTCGGGGTCTTCTTGAGTTTTTCTACATCGCCGTGCAGCCTCATGGGAGATAAGGCCATAACATGACCTGACTTAACGCATCGTTCTGGAAGAAAGCTTGCGAAAAGGATCCCTGACAAAATTTCAAATAATTTCGACGCTAAAAAAAAAACCTAGTCGTAGAGATATTGCGTAAAAACAGTTTCTGCGCACGATTGTTTGAGCGAATATCTCAGCTGTGATGTTGCTTTCGGAATATCCATGTAGAAACGCAAAAGCTTTATCGCAACGACGTACGAATAACACACTCTTTAGTATACACACACACACACATAACAGTTGGATGGAATATTCTTATAAATTAAAACGAATTAGCCAAGCGCGTCGTGCAGGAGAAGGCCATGCGGTCAATAAAATTAAAATTTTTATTGCAGTCTTCTTCTGCGCTATTTTTACCAACAATGTGCCCTCATATATATAGCTTATAACATTGATATCTAGACGTATATCTAAATTTGAAAAAATTCTTTATTGTTAATCACAATGCTCACGAGGTTAAAATACATACATGTTGCAGATTTTTGATAAATTCTGCTTCTTGTAAAAATGTAATTATTTATTAAAAAAGGGCTTAGATTCTTTTTATAAACCGCTAAAAATTTATAAAATCGAATTCTATATAAAATTCTCTATGCTTTTTATAAAAAAATATTAAATTTGCAAATAGCTTGCGACACAGACAAATAGGGAAATATCAATATAAACACTTCTCTGTTTGAATAATTTACTACTTTGTGGATATTTAAGACCTTGTTTTGATCAGATCTTGTCTGCCGATTTAAAAGCGCGAATAAATTTTCGATGAATTGCGCAACATTGCGTTTATCGTGTTCATTATGCATTCATGATGTTATTCGAAGGTAATTATCACTAGCACGTGATTTATAACGGACATTTTTATTTGCAACAAGAAAGATTGTGATAGCTTGCTAAATTCGCGATAAATGCAACATGTCACGAAAAGATTTCACGATGTGTGGAACGTTATTCGAAAAGTTTCTCAGCGCAACCTCGACATTTTTTACGATCTTTATAACGCATACTCGATAACTATGATATCTTATTTTAGTATTCTTCCATAAACATGAGTCATTCCTAAAAATAACAATCTATAAATGTAACCGTGGTATTTATAAATACTTGCACCTCTTGCAACGTTAAAATCAAAGCAGCGAGCAATCAAATTCCAACATGTTGCAAAAAAAAGAAAAGCGATCTTTATCAGCGCAAAAAGATAGCTTCCTTTCCTACAAATAAGTTATTTCCTTTTGCTTTAAGTATACTATGTATTATGTTTCTACGAATAATTACATGAACATGATGATCAATCATGTGTATCAATTGATATCAATAATAACGCAGAATAGATTCGTAATTAGTTTCTTTATCACTGCTGTTCTTTTTCGACACAAATGCCAAATCGCTTTCTTACTTAATTAACAATGAATTATGGTATGTTTTAATTAGCGGATTATCCAGATGAAAGCAGCAAGGATAATCATCACGTTATCACCCTGGAACGGTATATCATAGAGATAGAAAAATGCGAAACGCAGGAAGCAACAAGACGGACCATCAACAATATATCCGAGAAAACGGTAATTGCAAAACAGCTGATTTTACTTAAAGTTTGATAGCTTTACGTTTGACATATATTGATAATTGATGATTATATCCACTCTTAGAAAAGATTTATTAAATTGATACTCGCACATATTGTTGCCTCCTTTCTATAATGTTGATTGATTATCTCGATATTGCGCTATGCATTACTTCATATCAATAAAAGTCTATCATAGCTGAGTCGCATATTTGACAGTTCAAATATTAAGTATGTGTGTATAATTTTGATTTAATTGATTTTGAAAAAACGGGTGACTAGAGTTAATATGTAAGTAATTTTATAACTATGTGTATGTGTGTGAAAAATATTTAATTAACGCTGTTAATGATTAAAACTCCATGGATTCGAAAGAACATGGTTAAAACTATAGGAAAATATAATAATTATAATCAACATGAAATTACAAAACTTATTAAGTTTTATATAATACAAACTATTATGATCAGAAGAATCGTTAATAAAATTATCGATCGTTTTTTAATTGTAAAAAAAAGTACTTGATCTACTGGCGCATTTTGCGTAAATTTTCAAAAAAAATATTCAAGAAAAGGTAGACGAAGCTTCGATGTAAATTAACGATTAAATCACAAGATAAAACGCGATTTAAAATTTGAGAAAAAAATACCACGAATAAATAAATCAATGATAGCCATAATATTCGATTCCAATGTATGTACATATAATTTTTGGAACAATCAAAGTAACGATATAATTACTATATACGAAAATGTTTCGACGGACATTTGAAACGCTTTTCATAATTGCGTTTGTAATAGGACATTTGTAAAGAATCTAATACTCGATTTATTTTCAAATGCGTGATTTTATGCAATTTTCGCGATTGAGAATAAGAATATAAGTACCGTTTCGCGGAGGATTAGCTAAACAGGATAAAAGCTTATAAAATTTAAAATACCGTTATAAAAACATTGCGTTATCGCCGCGTTCAATGGAGGATAACTGGCCCAACGAAAATATTTGCGCGAGAAAATGTGTTCCTCCATTATTAAGAAATATATCTCTTTATAGAAAATTAAATGGATATAACAATTTTTATGAAAACGTGGTTACGAACGACTATATTTATAATCAAATACATGCATCGCGTTATTGTAGCTAGTGTTAAATGTGCGAGTACAAATAATTCTCGGGTACCAACTGTTCGAGACGAACCGAACCCGATAACAGCGAAATTTAAAAAAATTGAATCGCGTAGCCTAATCGCGTAGCCTAATCGCGTACCCTAATTGCGTTCCCTACTCGCGTGCTTTACTCACGTGTCCTACTCACGTGCCCTATAGAATGCACTGGTATGCATTCTTGATTATGTGCCCTTGCACGTAGAAATGCGCAAACACATGTATTGTTCAACATGTGTATTTTTGCGTCTATCGAAAGCAATCGTCAAATTTTGTGAACAAAAAACTAATATTTAATCGTTAACTTAACATCGAGTTTTCATATTTTTATTCAATAATTTTTCTATTAAATATTAAAAGAATTCGTGATATTCATGATATTTATAAAATTTGAAATACAATTTCCCGAATTTATCAACAATTCTTTGGTATGAAAACAATCTCTTAACTTTAATAATAATAATAATAATA